GGGGGAGGGAGGGTTTGCAGCACCTTTAGAAGAAAAGTTGCAACATTGAGAAGAGATCCCCAAAATCCCTTGTCTATAATTCTGCAAATCAATAATGAAAGAGTAATTAACATGAATGCCAGAGCTTCTTCTTACTGTTCTACCTACTTCTTGAAGAACAAAGTCCAAGCAAATAAAGAATCACAAAAGTTGGTAAGCACATTTATGAAGCATATGTTTAAAGAAATAGATATTACATTACTCTAGAATGATTCAAAGATGATGGACATATACCATATTTTCTTTTATGAACCTGTAACTTTTGGGGGCTCCAAATGGAAAGTTAACTTCCAATTTTGATAGCCTAGTAGTGGAAGGTGATTCAAAGGTGATGGTGGTTAGGTGGATAAGAAACAAGCAGGAAGGTTCTCGGAAGCATAGGAGTAACATGGGAAAGGTTTTAAGAATGATAGAGGAAATGACAAGTGTCCAATGGGTATAGAGATCGGCTATGGGCTAGCAGATGCCCTAGCTGGACAGGGTGCTCAACTGCTCATAGAGATCAATTGTATAGGGGAATCATACACTACAGGGAAGTAGGGTGGAAAAGGGTAGGTAGGCAAGTGCCTATCCTACAAAAAAGGAGTCTTCTTGTGAAACACATCAGTTTCTGTGTGCCTTGTAGCATACATTCATATTCTTTCCACTCAAACAAAATATTTTTATGATTGCCGATCAAAAAAATGAAGCGACTCTAGAATGGTTAGTGATTCAAGACTTCCAATTTTAGTCTTAATTTCCAATAAAATCCAAGCAAACAACAAAACAATATCATTATTACTACTATTATTAGTAGTAGTACAACAATAAAATATTGGGCTGACAAGCATGAAAATGTGAGTTCAAGTCTGGAGCAGCCACTTTATGCTAGATGCTAGAGCTTATATTGGTATCCTTTTCACCCCTTTCAAGACACCAAATTGTTGGGAACGGCAATATTTAATGACCTTTTGACAATAATGATATGAGTATTGTTGAAAACAATATTTGCATGGGTATTGCTTCATAGAGCCTAGCGTCTTAGCACACAACAAAATACAAATTCCTTCAAACTAGAGCCTCAAATTATAAAGAAGTTTCTCATGAAAACCACATGCCATAATCTGGTTAAACAGATTGTCACCTCCAAAGTTAGATGTTTATCGTAAAGGTTTGGAGAAAGAAACCTGAAAAATCTATGATTAATGAGAAAAAATAAAGGCTCTTAAATCCACAAAGAAAACAACAGATATAAAAAGTTTCCAAAATAAGGGGTTTCTCTACCGAAGAGAAAGAGTGCTTTAAAACAGAAGCATTTCGAGTAAAGATTTGGCTCCTGCAAACATAACACCCCGTACACTTGTCTTTTGTTCTTCAAACATTATTTCTGTGATGGGCGTTACCCATTAGTCCATTTCTAACCAACGGCTCTTTCACCATCTTTATTGTGGAAAACATTCAAAAGGCCAGTCTAGATATTACCAAACAAAACGGGTAGCCTCCGCAAACAAACTTTATAATGCAAGTGTCTAAATGGCCTTTCTAAACAAGAATCAATCTCAATCTCTGAAATGAGAAGCAGCAGTTAAAACAAATAAGTAGCCATAGCGGGTGCCTCCAAAACAAAATATTTGGCATTAACTGTATAAATAATAATTCTCAAACAAGAATCCAGATTGAAATAAAGATCAATCTTTGAATAGGCGTCCTTCAAAAATAGATTTTTGGCCTTAGTTACTTATCAAAAAAAAACGGCCATAAGCATTAGCATCTGAACTGGCCTTCTTAAATAAAACTCAATCTCTAAAAACTATGTCATTGAAAACGAAGGCCTAAAGTCCATTAAAAAACATATTTTTGGGCATAATACCTGCGAAAATTTTAAAAATAAAAATAAAAATAGAGCACACTTTAAATTCCGAAATGATGAAAGGCTCCTAAAATATTTCCTAAAACAAAAAGAGTAACAATTCATAGAGAAAACAATAAGAAAAGATAAAGAGGTCTGAAACCTGAATCTCTGCTATCATGAGAGAGCGCCTTAAAGTATAAACATTGCGAAGAAGCTTCGCCATGAGCACCCTTGAAGGCCTGAACTCTCGCAGTCCACGAACAAAACCTCTTCAACAAAATAAAAGGAAAACAGAAAATTTTTACATCCCCGTTTGCATTGTTGTTTCTTTCGTTTCCAGTTGAGAGTTTTGAGACCAGTCGGGACCCGTGCGAAGTCCCTCGTTTAGGGTTTTTGGTTTTTCCCTCCTAAAATCAGCTTTTAGAACAATAGTTTCAACTTTCAACTGGGTGTGTCGTGTGTGATAGAATAGACCCAGAATCCACGATCAAATTCGTAGACCCTTTGTAAAAACCGCTACATCGGAATGATTTGGCATTTGGGCTTATGGTATGGTCTGAGAGTAGTAGTAGACTGCTAGAACTGCATATATGATCTGCGACTAACAGTATGGTACGTATTGGGTCGGATTGGGTTGAAAATTTGTTAGAATTTTAATCGGCCCGAACCCGATACAGCTGGTCTGTGGTGTCCCCTGCAAACCCCATCTTTCCCATAATGCCGTCTTCTACGTATCCATTTGAAACTTCGAAGGGCTTTCATGCAACGGGTTTTTTTATGGAGAAGTAAGAACAGGCCCAATGCAGATTTTTTATTTCCATTGTACAGTTATAAATATTTAAAATGTCAAAAACCCCATTCTATATACCAATGTCCGCTTGTGAATTGGCATTAATGTGGAACTGGCACCCACCCTGATAAAGGAAGATTTGGCCCGACCTCGCAAATCACGCCACGTGGCAAAAAACAAGTAGCTCGGCACTTAAAGCAGCATACCGAGGGTACAAACACCAAAGGGAAGAGACCAGCGGTCTGAACTCTCCTCGAGGAGACCAAACTCCCCTCGAAAAGACCAACTCCCTAAGAGGAGCCCGAACTCCCTACAAGGAGCCCGAACTCCCTAAAAGGAGCCCGACCTCCCTACTAAGAGCTCGAACTCCCTACGAGGAGCCTGAACTCTCCCTTTGGCCCCGAGCCACACAAAGCAGTGACCCGAACTGGCCCGTCTCATGACAGTTCGGGACACCCCCCCTATCCGAACTCAAGACTTCGCCTCACACCGCTCCAAGCACTTCGCCTCCAGAGCATTGAACTGGACGAACCACACCGTACCTGACACCGAAGGAGTCCGTATCCAGGGGCGGCGCACCTAAATGACTTGGGATCTGACGCCTGACGACCGCACTTCAACGGCCACCGCCATCTCCAGTTACAGGGACGGCTCCGACAAAAAGAGCAGTGACGGTTCTGCCCCAACAGAGGCAATGACGCCCGAAATGGCAGAAGCACGGAATAAATCATTCCCGACCTGACAGAAGTCTAGGAGTGAGTGCACGAGGTGGTTATAAAAGACTCTCCACCACCCCAAAGAGGAGGTATGCAAAATTTGCGCTATCTGGTTTTATTTGCCTTTGAAAGATTCTAACTTGAGCTTCGGAACCTTTACACCGGGTTCCCCCCGGAGCTTTCTCATCTCCTCCGTTTCAGGTTCCCTGCTTCCGAGTTCAGAGGCAAGGTCGTTGACAGGTAAGACCGGCCAGATTGCGCATCATCAATTGGCGTCGTCTGTGGGAAAACGCTTCAAAAAACTCCCTCCAAACTCTCATAACCCCTTTTCTTCAAAAAACCCAAACACTCATGGCTTCTTCCAGCAACGCCGGACATGGCACGGAGACAAACACCACCGGGGAACAACTTCAAGTCCCCGTGGTGTGCGTTGGACAGTTCACCATCTCCCTTTTGGTGGATGGGATCCCCAGCTTGAATGCGCCACAAGCAGTGGCGCCCGTAAACCTTCCTGCCACGAGCATCCCCTTTCTTCCCCCTATTGAGACAACATTTACTGAACCAACTGCCGTCCCCCTGGCAGCCAGCCAAAAAAGGTTGGACGACCTGATGCAGTGCATGCAGGCAATGCAAAACCAAATGCAACAGTTCCAGCAACACCAGCACCAAGTACTGCACAACATCTCCCAGTATCACTATCAACAGCAGTTCCCCCAACTACCACTGAACCAACCACTACTTCCACCTCGGCACCCTACTCCGAGGCCGGTTAAGGCCTCCCCGCAGGATGGACGCCCCCACCAAGGAAAGGCCTCCCGGCCCCAGAACCCCCCTAACAGCCAGGCCTCGTCCCCAGGCCGAAGAGAGAGAAAAATCATCCCCAGCTCGCAGGCGGGTCAGGAACCTTGCCCGCAAGATCGGCACCTCGGCGCTCCAAGCTCGAGTTCCCGCTCACGGAAAACCAATTCGGCGCCCTGGTAGCAGACTACTAGCATTCCGGGCCCATCGAGCTCGGCAACACGGAGGCCAGCAGCGCCAGTACAAGGCCCACTCAACAATGAAGGCGCCGACGAGGTCGCCGAACCGCCACCCGTGTCTTGTCAAAGCTCAGAGGCAAAGAAGAGACAAGCTCGGATTAGGTAGGAGTTGTCCCGATTCTCTCAGTTCCTTCCCCCCTCGCATCAGAACTCCTGGCGGTCCCCTTGCCCAGAGATTTCAAGCTTCCACCTCTGGACAAGTATGACGGGTCCTTCGACCCCAACGAC